TTTTCCGACAGATTCCGCATACAGAACTCGCTTTCCTTGCGGGTTGATCGGCTGGAGAAAACGAGGTCTTTCGGCAGGTTTAGGTAGGTGCAACCGGTTAAGCTTATCAAATGTCAAACGTGCAGTTTAGATGACTTCATTGCCACTTGTTACCCTGTCTTTTTCAGGACAAAGAAACAGTACATCTGTCAGTACTGTCGTCGTAACTTCACCAAGTCCTACAACCTGCTCATCCATGAGCGAACTCACACCAACGAACGTCCCTTCCCATGCGATGTCTGCGGGAAGGCGTTTCGCCGACAGGATCATTTGCGAGATCACAGGTAAACTGCGGGTGGAATACACGGGTTCCAGTTGAATTAGCATAAAATAGATGCTGAAATGGGTAATTATGAAGTAAAAGGCTCAAAGGGTTACATTACTGTCGGTCACGTGACACAAGCCAATTCGTGTATTGTAGAAATGTGACTATTAATCAATCACCGTAGTCAGGGAATGTCATCGGTTTTGGCTAATTTTCGTTGGCCACAAACATCAATCACTTTTTTCCGAAAACAAATATGACCAACATGAAAAAGGGAAATTGAAATGACCAGGTACAGGCCGTTGTCGAGCCTGGAGGATTTCAGGCTTAATCGCATGCTCATCGATAGTTATTTTTTTAAATGACGAAAGGGTGCATTTGTGACTTGCGCGGCATCCATCTCGCTTCTAAAACACACTGTACAGTAGATTCCCTATCTCATGAACTGCCAGTGGGAATTCTAAATTTCTTTTAGCTTTGAAAAAATTACTAAATTTAGGTCCTAAAATGGATTGTAACATAGGAACATTGTAACAGTGAATTGTAACATTCATGCACTTTTCTGTAAGTATACTCGATCGCTTTGATGGTCTGGTTGAGAAATTGGTAAACATTAGGCAAAAAATACTTTTGGCCAAAGAATATCTAAAATAAATATGTAATTCACATTGTGAAGGCACTCTGAGTCATTATAAACCTGTCCATGAGTGGTACTCGTTAAAAGAAGGCTTTAAGCTTTACCCAGCACTGCATTTATCAGATTTGCCACTGGTATGGGACGTGAGGGCAAATTCCATCCAACTATGGCCCGCTTCTTAATTTCCTCGCTGCAAACGAGGCTCTGGAGGTGGCTTATAAAATTTCTAACCGATAGGACACGGTAGATTCCCTGTCTCATGAAATGTCAACCGAAAATCTGAAGCGTGTTTTTGATTCTAATAAATTACTTAAGTAGAGTCGGAATACAGTCTACTCTCAAGGATTCTCAGCCACGTCTGAATGAGCTTCCTTCTGACTGCCTACAAAAATAATATTTAGTAAAAAATGGCTACCAAATTAGGATACTTTTTTTCTCCTTGATCTTCGATGTCCTCATAGATCCAAATATATTTTCTAGAAAACATGCATAAACGTGTTGTTGCTTATGCTTGCTTGGTAATCAATTATGCGATTCTCAAATGGGATATTTGAAGAAAATATATCTTCAAATTTCAGAAAAGTTTTCAATTAGGAGAATTTTTAAGAGCAGGAAATGTTCGTTCATAACTCATCGCATCCGTTAATTTATTAATACTGCCTATAACTCATACGATTTACTCTTAAGTGATTGCAAAATTTGATTAGCACCATGCGACCTCTTCCTCGTGGCGTGGTGAATTGCAGGATTCTCCTAAGAGCATTTAGTTTGAAATCTAGACTGCAAGTGTAACGGCCGGTAGGGTTCTAAATTATTCGCCATTTAGAAAGTTTTTTTTCAACGCAAAATATACCGTTTCTTCGAGTATTAACTTTGAATAAGGTGTAATTTGGTAAACAAAATGCATACAAGAAGAAATATATTTGTGCGTATTTGCTATAAAGTATATTTGAATTTTCCAGCTCATCGAAAATCCATGAGAAAAATGCATACCAATTAAGTGGGTTGCCGATAGAAGCAAATATGCGAGTTCCAGGAAGCATTTCAGAAGAGAAAAAGGATGCGATCATTGGAACAAGAATTTTATTTTCCTGACGTTTCGAATTTTGTAAAGAATCCTCAATCATAGGTGATCGTAGGATGGTGTGAGACATGCGCAGATTGGGCGTGATACATGCGCAGCTTGCATGGCATTCATTATTCCTAGCGGCCATTCGCATGTGTACCAGCTGGGAGCCTTTAAACCATGACTCAAGCAGCTCGCAGCACACGTGATTGTCACCTCTTGTGAGAATTTCGGCTTCGTTAAACTTGAAAATATAGCCGGGCCCCGTCGAGTGAGCCGCCACCTAGGAGTTAGCGTCTTTCTTCTTCAGCGCCACTGCGTGCTCGGCCATTTGCATCCGGAATAATCTCCAGGTTTCTCCGAAGTAGTTGCTTTGTCCACAACTGCACCAGATCCGTTGAACGACTCCAACCGTTTCCTGCCGCGGCAGTAAGTCTTTCGGTCTCATGACTTGGCGCCTGATTGTTGCTTCTGGCCTGTGCACAACTCCAACTCCAAGTGGGATGAGCAGGCGTCATTGGCTACAGTGTTCACTTTTGGCAGGCGGTCGGAAGGAAGTTCGTTCAAAAGCTGGTATCCTGACGTGAATGAAATATTCTGCGATTAGTTTATACGATAATCAATAGGACAACCCTACTCAGGTAAGTTGTTCGAACCAAAAGCACCTTTCAGCATTTTCAGTTGACATTTAATGAGGTAGAGCATGTACTTTAACTGCGCGTGCAGTTGGTGAATTCCACTATTAGGGCCTGAGAATGGTCGCTGTCTGCGCACTCTTTGCGTATCCTTGCCCGCATACATACGAAGAGGGATTCCCTGATGTCTCGCGCGCTTTTTGAACTTTGATGCTTGCCTGATAAGACCGCTGCCAACTGCGTATGTTCAGGACTAGATGCAGTCACGCAGTCTTGTCATGTTTCGTAAGCAGAGGTCATAGAGTTCTCACGTGAATCTCGTATGCCGTCTTCTGCTTGAA